CTTAAAAATGAACTAGATTGTTCCTGCAGGCTGAGCCATGCTGAAAATCTTCTAAGGGAAAGTGACGATTACGTCATGACGGAAATAAATGGCGGACATTTATGTACTCGAGCAAGGCTTCCAAAGGAGGGGTACTATAAACTACAACTTATGGTCAGGTTTGATGACGATAGTTATAAACCGGTGTTGGCTTACATTCTGGGGTCGAAACAAACACTGCCTGTGATTCACAAACTACCGAAATGTTATAGGGCGGCAAGAGAGTTCAGATGTCGTCTGATTGAACCTCTGACGTATGAACTACACAGAAACACTAAGATTCGTATGAGATTAAAATGTCCAAAGAATTTAAGTCTTGTCCTTAAGAAGCAAACACTCAAACTGGATAAGGTTGACGATGTATGGGACTTTCTTACCACGACGCCGAATGCGGGAGAAAAATTTTGTATTTCTGGAAAACTTCAAAACGGAGATTCTCGATCCACATATAAAGGATTGTATGAATTTTCGATTATATAGACCAGTGACTGGATTCGACATCAATTCGAAAATACTCGATTTTTTCCTGGTGCAATATTTTACAATAGGAGGGCCTTATTTCGTATATTATCAATAATTTTACAAGTTGTCATTTTAATACTTTTGAGGAATATGTGATAAAGGATTAAATTATTTTGCTTAGAATTAATTTTTATATAAATCAATTGAATGTTTTTACACCACCGTCTCTTGATGGTCTACATGTGTATTCTTATGGTTTTTAACAGATTATCTGTTTACAAGTTTTTTTTTAAAATACCTGCTCCATATCTTGGTCATTGAACACGGAAAGATTATGAAGGGAAGATGTGTCCCAACCTAAAGTAGGTCGAAGTAACCTCGTTTTGGAATTTGACAGACATACATAATTAAATAGAGTCTAGATAATGTAATACATCATACACAATGAAACATAGAATCATAACAATAGGTCAATTGATTGATGTTAAAACACTTTTAATCAATATTCAAAAGAGGTCAGTCTAGATTTATCCGAAGACAGTTCTCACACACTGTGAATCAATACAAATGAATTTCAAACTCGAATTTCAATCCAATGTTTTCCCCGCGTCCGCGTCGAATTGTGCCCGCCCATTTCATTGTGTATTATTGAATGTTTTGATTGTAACAGATAGAAATGACGAAAGCTGCATATTTCCAATCTTGCCAGTTAATGTTTCGCGGTCCTATATAGTTTCAACTTGTCACGTAAATATAAAGTATGCATAAATAAAGATAAATAGACAACGTCAAACTTGTTTGACACCAATGAATCCTAAATTTACTGCATGAAGTGGTCTCCTGGATTAGGCAGCATTGAGTTTTAATTTACATCGGATGAAGCAAGTATTAGGAATACACAGCAGCCGGTCTAAACAAGTTTTACTGTATCACCATGAAGATCATATTGAATGCATGCAAGTCGCTTTTTAATACAAGAAATGTGGTTTACTTCCACGATGGTGCTCATCCTCTTGACCTTTACCCAAAACTAAACGTCTAGTTATTTTTTAAGAAGTAAAAAATACGCCTTTTCAATTATAGATTTCGCAGGATGAGTTGAAAAATTTGGGGGAAATTGAGGCTTTATTGAGCCAGGTTCTTTTATATTTCAAGCAAAATATTGAGACATTTTAAAAGACGGTACGAAGATGAGGTTTAAATAAGTATCATATTTGGAGTTTTGATTTGTGTCTTTGATCTGATAATCTTTTAATGTCTGATTTATTGGAATATAATAACCGCGATGTTTTCTCTGATCTTAGGAAAATTTATATGTTTATGATCTCACAACTAGGATACAGTCAACACCCATACTTCTGGACCAGGACATTTATATTGGGGAATTGATACTTCAGTAAAACTATTATTAAACGATTTTCATTTAAAATCTCCTGCGCTTTACTGGCCCATTAGTTCTTTACATCCTATTCCCAAAAAACTTAGTTAAAATTCAGTTTTGGCAATTTATAACCTCGATGATTTATATATATATATATATTTTTAAAAATACAACAATCTCGCCTGGATTGCAGTCTTATTAATCCGCTATCTACATGAATTTATTATTATACGTCGTATAACTAATAGACATTACACAGTATTATGCTTGAAACGGAGATTTTATGCGAAAACACGCTATCGTTTTCGTTCTCCAAAATTGTACTGCACAAGTCCTTCCCACGTTACCTTGAATTATCTAATTAGGTTTCTCCTTTATTCGTCTGAAGTTTCATTAATTAAGTTTACCAGAAACGCTTGCTTAATATATTGTATAACATACCCCCGGTATATGTACGACTAACGTGTTAGCTAAAGCATGAGTTTGCATGGAGTGGGTGATATTTTAGAACGACAAGAGGAACCAACACCAAGCTCATGGCAATTCGCCTCATTAATACTATTTATACATATATACACTGAACCAAACTTCTAAGTGTTCACCAGACATTTTTTAAGTTATAAAGAACAAATGCATTCAATAAATATTTTCTTTAATTCATGGTTAATGATCATCTTTCAGTTTGATATTGCGAAGATTTCATGTAAGTATCTCGTCAGACTTCAAAGCAAAGTGTCAAAGACATGGTGTACTATGGTGTCCGGATAGGGCCATTTGCGTTAGCGCGACATCGCGTTCAGATAAACGAGACGTCGCGCTAACACACAACACGCCGTCGCGCTAACGCAACTTTGCACAACACGCCGTCGCGCTAACAAACAACACGCCGTCGCGCCAACACAACTTTGCACAACACGCCGTCGCGCGAACACACAACACGCCGTCGCGCTAACATAACTTTGCACAACGCGCCGTCGCGCTAACACACAACACGCCGTCGCGCTGACACAACTTTGCACAACACGCTGTCGCGCTAACACAACTTTGCACAACGCGCCGTCGCGCTAACACAACTTTACACAACACGCTGTCGCGCTAACACAACTGTGCACAACGCGCCGTCGCGCTAACACAACTTTACACAACACGCCGTCGCGCTAACGCAACTTTGCAGTGCGTTAGCGTGACGGCATGTTGTGTGTTAGCGCGACGGCGCGTTGTGCAAAGTTGTGTTAGCGCGACGGCGTGTTCTGTGTTAGCGCGACGGCGCTTTATCTGAACGCGATGTCGCGCTAACGCAAATGGCCCTATCCGGACACCATAGTGTACCCTCAAAAATGAAAATTCACATAAAATAATCGCTATACACTCGCTCTAATTCACATAAAATAATCGCTATAGACTCGCTCTAATTACTGCAAGACATACCATGTACCCTTTGAATAGGAGGTTAACCTATCTACTGCGACACCTACAGCATGGACCTTTCTAAACCGTTGAAATTGTGTGGAAAGGGGGAGGGGGATGATATTCCTTTTAAAAGTTCCATATGTTCAATGGGTTTCAGATCTTGGGATTTGGCAGGCCAATGCATCAAACAAATGCATTCTGGTCAACATTTATACCCTCCTTGGGCGTCTCGCACGTAATTGAAATTAACTCTCTATGGATGATTCAGACTGTTTGAGATGATACTGGACAGATATGAGCAGCAATTTGACGCCATATTACACCACTGAAGGTGTTGATTGAAATGTTTCTAAAATGGTTTAGGATCATGTATAACAATCTTTTAAGCTGGATTTGACGCAAACCATTGGCCTCAGACGGAGATCTAGATCACTTCCGGTTTGATTAAATTTTGTCCAAAACTTTCAAATTGTGATAATTTGGTGATAAAAAAATGACTAAAAACCCTATAGAAAAATGTGTTTGAATGGATTCTTATATTACTTGTTGTTTATAATTAAAAGTAATATCACTAAAATAGTAATAACTAAGCACTAAAAGAAAAGTGATTAAAACGTGTCGTAAGGATGATTCCGATATCAACATTCCAATGGCTCTCCCTCCTCCCATCATAGGCGTCGGAACCGAGGTGGGGGTGGGGGGCTAGGGGGCTTAGCCCCCCTTTTTTTTTGCAAATGTATACATAATATAGACATTAAAATTGGGGTTTACCTTTTTTTCGGTTTAGCCCCCCCCCCTCTTTCAATTTGCTTCCGACGCCTATACCTCAATGACCATTTTGTGTTTCTTAGTTAAACCAGTTGTTAAAAATTGATAATGGTCGCATGAAGAAGGTGATTACACAAAACATGTGCCGCAAAGTAGTGAAAGTACAGATTTATTGTTTGTAAGTTTCGTTGCGGGAAATTGGTTTTCATTGGTGATAACTGATTTTCTTTCAACTATTTTTGAGAAGACTAATTGGTTGTAATAATTTGAAAATGTCATACAATTCTATCTTGTAGTTTATAAATAAATACGTTTATTAGAGTGAACACTTAGTTTTGTTAAGTGTATAGCAGAGAGAGAGAGAGAGAGAGAGAGAGAGTTCACACTGTCTAGAATTCAACCTCGCGATGGCATCTGGAAGATGAGTAAAATTGTTATTAAATATCATATCTTTTTATGAGAAAACATGTTTACTATGTTGAATATATACAAAGCATGTCTTATTAAACATGTTAAATGTAACTATGTTTAAAAATGCAAAAAAAATCACCTTTTGATGTGCAATTTCATTTGCATGTAATAAATTATCTTTTTTGAGATTTAAACACAAAATCGCTGCCTTGAAAAATAGGTTTTATAAATTTCTTTTCAAATTAATTTGAAATAGAAAAGAGTCTACCTCCTATAAAATCCTGGCTTGTATACCCCCCCCCCCTCCCAATTCATTTCTTTTTATTAAACAATCACTAAAAATGCTATAGTTTTAAGTTCACATCTTCTTTTACGTTCATTCTAACTTTTTAATGCATAGAATATACGCATCTTCATGCATTTTAATGAATGATTGAAAATGCTGATAAGTATAAATGTATGCATAAGAATGGGTTAAATGGGACGCGAGGCCCTGTAGCCTATTTAGAGTACCAGTCAAACACGATGCGCAATATCTATACAATTTAAAAGTGTTTACACAGGCCCTCATACCCGAGATGGCTTAGAGCCCCTTGACAAGGTATACCGTCTGATGTAAGGTACACATTTATTTTGCTCTAAAACAAATGTAAGTGAAGTTCAAGATAGTTTTTGAATAATCACGGGCATTCAAGCATACTGTGTATCTGCAGTACAACTTTACATCGTCGGTAATGGCAAACACGCATTATTAGTAAAAATCATTCAACTGAATTCCAAAATAAAATGGAATTTCGCTCCACGGAAGATATGTTCGAAAATAAGAGAGCTAGTGCCAAACGTTCGTATATACTGTTTCTGATTGTGACAATGGCCGTTGGAATTGGTATTGGAATACTTATCGGGAGATTTGCAATTTGTGACGAAAAGACAGAAACAAATAATTCCGGACAGCCTTCATTTAGCAAGGAAGCCGGTCCAAGTGTTAGTTCAGAAATAATAAATGGAATTGATGCAGGAAAAATCCGCCAATATCTGCAGTAAGTTTTGAAATTTTTGTTATTTCTTAAATATTTCTGAAATGCAAATTTTGGCATTTGCATGTTTTTGTGTGCAATCAAATTTGTAAACAAAAGAATTAACCGCAAGATTCACATAATTTATGGGATCGTCCTTATATTTTTCATTGATGACAATTTTCTTATTTGCGTCTTTAAACTGACGTGCATGCTTACAATTTTTTGCAAGACTTAGTCTTGTTTACAATAACATTATTGCAATGTCTCCTATTCTGCAAAATCAGTTCTTAACAAACAATATTTGCGCTGTTAAAATTGTTTACCAGTAGAGGAAGAAATCTGATATTCAACCCATTAAAAACGTTGACAACTTGTCTGTGTCAATAAATACCAAGCATAAAGGCAGATATTAAAAATATAGAAGAAATTTTACAGTTTCTGGGGATAAATTTACAATCATGCATTGACAAATTTTACAAGGCAAGGCACAGACAGTTTTTGAGTGACACAATGTATTTCTTGGTGACTTCCCCAGGACAATTATGTCATATACGAAGTTTGAAAACAGGATCTTTCAATGTAAACTAACTTTCCCAACCATGAGCACCTAAAAACTAATATTTTTGCAGACAAAGTGCTTATTGTAATCATTGCATTTTGACAAATTGAATTTGTGTTCAAGTCATCCCCTAACTCAAACAAAGAATTTTCATTTTATGTTCTTGCATAGATATTAATTATATCGCTTGCAGTCAAATTAATGCAACTTAGGATTCTGATTAAAGAGAGAGAATATCTTCATTGCAGACTGGTTTTCAGTATTTGACATTGCAAAACAAATATTTTTCCTTGCCCCAACTCATAGGCTTTCACATTATTTGAATTTTACTTTAAAAAAAACTATAAATTATTCATTTTCTTTCAAGGGTACGACGCAATAGGACGATTTTCTCCTTAGTTTGGACTTTCAGTAAGGCGTGGCATTCTCGGTGCTACGTCATGGCGAATACTAGTAGATTCTCATTGGTTAAGAAATTAATAACATCGGAACTTAAAATTGTTGTTGGCAACGATGAGACGACTTATGCCCCACCTCTGTGCAATGAGAGAACTTTTAATTGGCTATTTACTACACCAGTTGACATTTGGCCGCATTTCTATCATATGTATATTTCAACAGTGAAGGGAAGCTGTGTAAATTTCAGAAGCTAATTAGGTAACGTCGAGAATGCCACGCCTTACTCAAAGTCCAAACTAAGCGTGTAATGGTCCTAATCTGAATATAATTTAACATCTAACTGCTGTTTTTCAATATTTGACTTTGCAAAAAAAAAAAAAAAAAAAAAAAAAATTCCTTGCCCCAGCTTTCACATTATTTGAATTTTACTTTTAAACTATAAATTATTCATTTTCTTTCAAGGGTACGACGCAATAATCTGAATATAATTTAACATCTAACTGCTCAGTGTTCTTGACCTTTCAGAAAATGACCAATCTTCAGCAAGAATCAGAATCACAAAGTACAAGCATCTATCTTTTGGCCATATACATAGATGTACACGAATTTGAAATAATTTCCAAAAGCTCATCCCCTATGACCTTTAACCTATATTTTTGCCCTTTGAATCAAATCAAGACACATTTACTAAACAATATTTTTTTTCACGAATAATTGCCTGCAATAAAGAAAATATCATACGACTGTTCAAAATATTAATATGTTGTTGCTTATATATAACAAATGATTCTTTTGATAAGGTAACGTTTCTAATGACCTGTTGAAATCCTGTCTGGGCTAGACAACAAGAAATTATCTTTGCTCCCTTGATAAAAATATATTTAATCTTTGTCTGTTGCTATCATTACATATAATAGGATGGTTCTTGTCAAGATTATGCAGAAAGACTTACTAGAGTAGGGCTTGGTTAATGATAGCTGCAAAGTGCAGCGTTATCGTTTTATATTACAGTCTTTGACTATAACTGTTATGCTCAAACACTAATATAAAACCATTACGCTACAGAATAAAGAGTTTGTTTTTCTAAACAAAAGTTTCCTTTTTTATAAAAATAAATTCTTGTGCTTATTCTCAACTTTGGGTCCATCTCTATTACAATTAATTACATTTTAAATCTGTAAAAAAGTCTTAACATTTCATGTGTTAAAAAAATCGACGTTGTAGCATTTAGCGAGGTGCTGAACCTGTCGAGATTGGGCTAGGATGTTTTTTAACGTCACATTGTTGGCTGGATTTGCCGATAGTATATCTTTATGGCAAACAAGGAAGCCAGCGCAAGATATGTCCAAATAGTGTAATAAAACTTTTTTGGCTGAATTTTCGGGCAAAATGCGTTTTGTTGACCACGCCTCGAACCAAACTATTTGCCTCCGACCTACTGGCCTTAGGTAAACAGTTTGGTTCGTGGGTCCCTCAAAACGCATTTTGCACTTGAATCCAGTAGAAGTAAAATATTTTATACGATGTCTATTTGTTGTACGAATGAAAGACATTATTTTTAACTCGTGGTTCTTCCAACAGAGGTTTGTCCGAGCTCCCACATCTCGCTGGAACTAATGCCGATTATAAACAAGCTAAAGAGCTCCATGACTTCTGGAAGTCGGAAGGATTGGACGAAGCTTTCATCGCTCCGTACGATGTTCTGTTGTCCTATCCCAATACCACAGACCCGGATGTAATGAACAGGATTTTTGTCTACAATGAGAATGACGCCGTGGAATGGCAGTCGAATCTCTACGAACCGATTCTTCATCCCAGCGAAAACAAGTCAAACGTGGTCCCGCCTTTTAACGCTTACTCTGCACCCGGGAATGTAACATCCGTAAGTAAAAGATAATGTTTACTGGGTACTATCAAAGGTGGTTCCACAATTCCTTTTTTCCATTATATAGCAAAAACGTGAATGTAAGTTGGATTTTCGCAAATACATGTAGTACATTTTAGAAATCTAATTGGTATCCTCTGTTGGCAACAACACGGTTTTCCCAATATACGTACTTCCAGAACATCCTTGCTTAAATGTTTGACACCCATCCAAATAGTTGTATTCTCATTTAAACCGTAATAAAAAGGAAATTTAGTTGGAACAATTATCTGTCTTTTAGTCGGAGTTGATCTATGTTAACTATGGTCGTGTAGAAGATTTCCAGTGGTTGGTAACAAACAAATCTGTTAACTTCACGGGGAAGATGGTCATCGCCAGATACGGAAAAATCTACAGGGGAGACAAGGTGAGCCGCTTCCATCACAATTACTTATAACCCTTTCTAAATGGCTTCATTTAAGGACATACGCAACGTATTTTGAACTTTTTTGTCTTTTTCCGTGGAGTTGAAGAGTTCCAATACTTGTGAATACATTTCTATATATGGTGTTGTACACTTCTTTTAAAACAAGTTTTGATAAAAGGAACATCTAGAATATATATTTAGTAATTTTTATATATTTTTTCTTTGAATCATCCAAGAATTATCATTAATTGATATCTTTCCAAAACCCCTGGTAATACATATTGATTTTTGTCTATAAACATCTCATGACACTACAATCTTAAATGAAGAATATCGCGAAAACAATATGAGTAGGTAAGGTACGTTGCATATGTCCTTAAGTGAAAACTTTTGCCATAGATTTGCAATAAGACGCTGTTATTTCCTAGGTTCGTCTAGCCTCGCGGTACGGCGCCTCAGGTATCATTTTGTACTCCGATCCCTTAGACTACACGGATGGTCCTAACTCCAAAGTTTACCCTGACGGTTGGTGGCTTCCAGACACGGGTACCCAGAGGGGAACCACTTTCATGGGTAAAGGGGACCCTTTAACCCCGGGCTACCCAGCGACAGGTTTGTCAATATCATTCACCATATCCAATTTTTTTTTAAATCTGATTAAAATCAGATCCTTTGATCCGCTCACAGGTGTAGTAGCGATCTATGTGAGCGGATCTGATTTCAAAAAGGTCAAAATTGTTACTTTTTTAAAATTCTGAAGTACGATTTTCAACAATTGTTCATAACTTTTTTAAATTTCCAGAACTTGTTTGAGCTTGACTTTGTAGCAGTTTGCAACCTTTTTTGTAGACACAGCCTACCGTGTTGATGAAGAGAAACTGATAGGCGATATTCTCCCGAACATCCCCGTTCATCCTATAGGATATGGTGTGGCAGAGAAGCTGCTTAGGTGTTCAATTCACACTACCACTTATAGAACACAAAATATATGTTTGTTTTTTTAAATAAAAGAATACACTGCTGGAACACACAACCGTTTAAATATTCGTCTACAAACCGTAAAGAAAAATTAATATATCAATTAATTTCAAACCCTATGCCCAGTATTTTTTAAATCATTAAGGTCATAGGATACTCAAAATCTAGAGAAAGTGGAAGTTTACAAAGATACAAAGAAAGCATGGGGGTATTGATGCTCTTTTTTGTCGTGACAAATTTTTCAATTCTGCATTGAAAATATTAAATGATATCCCAGAAAATCATAAGTACGAATCACCTCCTACCCATTATACGAGGTTAAAGATTTGAGATTCTTTGATGTTTTCTTTGTTCATCAAGATTTTTGATAAAGCATTACAGTCCCAGCACTGTATGTCATCCTCACATGAAAAATATACTTTGTATGGGCCAGTTCTTATAATCTTTTAAAAATTGTGAGATTTCGTCACATTACGAACTATATCAAGCTCGGGTTATAAAATAAGTACCCAGGCTAGGACTCTGGTGTTCTGTAGTTGATTAGATGCATCAGTCTTTCATCAAACAATAATTCCCAAACAATCCAGCTTTGATTTCTTTCCACAGTTACATGGGAGGAGAGGAGGTTCCGGAATCTTGGATAGGAGGCATTAATACAACGTATAGAATTGGGGGACCTTTGAAAAATTCAGGATGGTATGTAATATTGGTTAGCGTGATTATTGTTACAATTTAATTAAGTCACGAAAATTTCTATAATCTCGCAACATTTAACACCAACGAAATTTTTTCCAGGAAAATCAGAATACGAATATCGACTCGGAACATGCGTAAAACAACTTACAATGTGATTGGTCTTATAAGAGGAGAAATTGAACCAGGTTTGTCTTCGATTGAACGTAACAGAATATTCTCCAAAAACATTGAATGAATGAATGAATGACATCAACATTCTTTCTTGTGTACACTGTTTCCTCTTGGAATCCAGATTTGATAACCCAGTTAACTTCCTTTGGAAGTTCTTGAATTACATAAATGTTAAATGAAGCAAACAAACATGTATTTTAAAAATATTGAACGTTTTTTTTCACTTTTCATTTTTTCAGACAGATATGTTTTGCTTGGCAACCATCGTGACGCCTGGGTGTTCGGGGCAATTGATCCTTCTAGTGGTACAGCGGTAATGAAAGAGGTCTCCCGAGTTATGGGAAACCTGGTTCGTGCAAGTAAGAAAAGCATTTTTTTCTTCAGCTAAACTACACTTGTATATAAGATCAACCAATTAAGGCTTCCATGAGACTGGCCAACTATATATATATGTTAACATTATGAAACATTGAATTCTTTCCCCACCCCCCCAATAAAAAAATTGTAATAAGTTCGGAAAGTATTTCGAAGTGGCTTATGAAATACTAGTATGGGTTTCCGTGTATGTCTGTGTACAGCTAGTATATGTAAATTTCTCATAAAATGTGAATTGGTTTTCTAAGGGTTTGAAAAGATTTTTTATGTACAAGAATTTAACTTTATTAAACAGTCTGCAAATAAGTCTGGACCCAGTTTCCTTAAATGTTTTGTAACTGTCTTGCATCCTTCAAGATATGTTGTTTTTAATGATTTTGTAGAGAAATGGCGCCCACGGCGGACGATCATTTTCTGTAGCTGGGGAGCAGAGGAATATGGATTGATAGGATCTACCGAATGGATTGAGGTAAAATCTGATCGAAAAGGAAATAATAGACGTATTCTCTGTTGTGTAACAGCATATTGGGAAATAAAATGAGAGTTCCTTTTAAATTATATTTGGGGTCATGCGAGATAATTTTTTGAAAAATAGTTTTAAGGTAGTATGGGAAACCTCCAAGCTACTGGTATTACATTCTTCCATTTAATGTGATTTTTAGGTCAAAAAGATACTTTTTCCTACACGGGTATTTCAACGGTGTTGGTCAAACAAAGTTGTGAAAAGTCATAAGATGAAATAAGATTTCTTTTGCCACTTTATATAAAATATCTAAAATAAAAATACTAGTATTGAATTTTTAGAGTAATTCAATATATGTATATAACTTCAAATTCAAATTCCACCATTTTGATATTCGTTATATTTTTTGTGCGTGTGTGTAACTAGTGTTGCTTGCAGCTACGAATGAATTGATATGATATGAATAACATCTAAAACCAATCATAGGTCCTAAAAATTGGATGGTTACTGTACGACACAGAAAAGGAAACTTTAAACAGAGGGTTATTCTGCAGTTTTTCTTTTGTTCTTATAGCAATATATAAAGAATTTGGCAGAGCGAGCGGTGGCGTACCTTAATGTAGATATAGCCGTGACAGGTGAGCAAAAATTCTTAATTTTAGCTAAATATATATTTAACCAAAATTTATATTGAAGAATATACACTAGTACCTCTTATATGTGAAAGAGTTGAACTTTTACTCAGTAAAATAAAAATTATGTTAATAATAAAATAAAAATTATTATGTATGTATATCTATAGAGCAGAGACAAGCGCGCGCTAGCTCTTTATCCACTTGATGTGTTTTTGAAAATACTTCATGAATCTCTATACATGTAAATTGATGAACATTTAATTAATACTTATTTGCAGGAAATTATACCGTAGCTAGTGGGGCTACCCCGCTGGTACATCATGCTTTGATTGAAGCCGCTAAGTCCGTGCCGAATCCAGATGCTGCGCGCGCAGCTCAAGGACTGAAAACTGTGTATGACAACTGGAAAGCCAGTACCCCAAGTGAAAAAGACAACACGAAACCAAAGTACTACATGACCTTATTTTTATCTTGCGAAACGACTTTGAGAAATTAATTGTCTTTACAGTTCATTGTATTTTAAGAAGTTTTTTTTTTATATAGAATAAATATTTAAATTGACAGGATTTTCCCCCTTGGTTCCGGAAGTGATTTTGCATCCTTCATACAACAAATTGGTTTACCCAGTGTTGATTTATCCTACACCTTTGACAAAGTATGTAGCAAACGCTTTCCTAGTCAATCCAAATCCAACACAAAAACAGTTAAACTATTTTTTACAGAATCAATTGTTATAAATGTTTGCAGGAAAAATACAAGATTGCATCCTATCCTTTATATCACTCCAAATACGAAACATTTTACGCAGTGGACGAAATATTGGACCCTGGATTTCAGGTCTGTTGGCATGCAATATTTTTAAAAAGTCGGACTGACAATTATTAATAAAAACAAACAAACGCAGTATGCAGGATTTGAATTGCTCTACGACTTTATTTGTGTTTTGCTAAATACTGAGTATTAAACGTTAAATTTGATTTCTAGTTTCACAAAGCAGTGGGACAGGTTTGGGCCGAATTCGCCAGGAATCTTGCAGATTCTTTGATTATTCCATTTGATGTTCGAGATTATGCACGTACTTTGAACGATCATGTTAACCAACTTAATACGTCTGAAACTGGAACTATTCTTCGAACCAAAATGAGTTTAGGTAACAAATCACGTGATGCTTTTAATAATATGGGGTTCTGTTTCTAAAGAAATGTATTGTTGTGGTAATTTTACTGGATATTTGTATAATGAGGAAAAGTTTTATGCAGATTGTATTAATACATAATTTATACTCGTGTTGTTTGGTAAAAGTTCCCTAGAAACCTTGCTTTATACATTTAGAATACCCTTGATATCGGGGAAATCCATAGCCAATCTGGGGGATGGGGTTGTCACTATATTGTAAACTCCCCATTTTCAAAGCGAGGCTTCTCCCTTAAATTACTTACTTTCTTACGTTCTTTTCCAACTTGCCATGCTATATAGTTAGTCGGGGGAGACATTATGGCAAGACGGTTCTGCTTGTTGTTTAGTATAGGGATTAATTTGATTATACTGTAGTTTAGTTTGCCTAGTGACAGGTTTAGGCCAATGAATTATTTTAATTAATTGCAGATAAACTTTTTGAAGCTGCTGCTAATTTCTCGAATGAAGTTAGTTCATTTTACAGTATGCAACAGAAAGTGGATAAAGCAAAGTAAGATTTTTCGCATAAATAACAACATTAATCGTATCTAATAGTTAAAAAACCTACATAATCTGTATAGATTTTGTACAAAATGTAAATATTATTTTCATTGAAAAATTCATCAATGTATATTAAAGTAGCTGTAATAATCATATACATGCATGTACAGTATAAACTTCTGTATTTTGCATATATAAACTAGTAGATGAATAATTTATGATAAATAGTCACAGATAATATTAAGATGACTTGTTGAAGTCAGCTCTTTGTGAATGACTGAATTTAAGAAAATAAGTAATGAGTTTTCTATTTCTGAGAAAAAATAAATATCATGTTATAATTGTAGACCTTATGCGATACGACAGATCAATGACCAACTGTTACAATTAGACCGAGCGTTCACAGACCCAGCAGGTCTGCCTAATAGGCCGCAGGCCAGGTACACTAAAAAATATATACATATATAATTCTTATACATGCACGTGATGGAACATAACTCTTTTTTACTTATTGAGGTAGGCTAGAAATAAAAGAGGAATCAAGATTTTTTTTTTTTGAAAAATCGTATATCTTTTTTTAAAGACATATTTTACGTTATTGTGTATTTGTAACATATATTTGTCTTAATTTTGTGTACATTAAATTTTGTAGACACATTTTATTTGCTGAGAGTAGTGTAAATGCCTACGCTGGAAGCAGTTTCCCGGGTTTATCAGACACAACTTTTGAAATAATCGGAAGTGAAAATGAAAGTGAACGATGGGAAATAGTGAAAAAACATTATGCAGCCATAATATTTGCCATACAGTCTGCTACTTCATCATTACGTGATGTAACAAGATTCATGCCATCAATGTAATCATATTAGTAGACTTCATATTTCATATCAAATGTATATCATATGCTTATCGTATCGTATGCTTAATTTTCAAAACTTACAGAGCATTCCAGTCTCCAGATAGCATTTGAGATTCCTTAAAATTGCATATGTATTTCTGAGTGAATGAATGCTGTTTTTCCATATTGATGACTTGTTTATGTTGCTAGTATATATACGATTTTTTTTTAGATATTTTTGTAAAATAAAATATGAAAAATATTATCTCACTTTGACATATCCTTGATGTCTGAAGTAAAAGTTTTCGCAATAACAAAGTTCAACTGTATTTAATTTTCAGCACAGGGAACCAGCCATTTTATATAAAGCAACATTGCATTTGTATTGATGAACAAAAATCACTAATTAAAAACGTTTCAATTATTGTTTTCTTTTCTAGTGGAATGTCAGTGTTCCCCCTTTTTACCACCAACATTTTTTTAAATTAAAAAATATAAATACAATGTGGTTGGTGCTTTTTTTTTTTTTTAGATTTTAACTTAATGAGTATTTCATGGATTTAGAACCCTTTATTCAACAGAGTATAGGGGGGTCCAAATATATAAGAAGCCGAAGGCAATCCAAAATAAATTTTATGTTTTACGTCATATATTTTTAAATCTTTGTGGGTGAAACTAACAAAATGATGTTACCAAAAATTGAAACAGAAAATCAGTTAAATTTCATCAGAAACAGTTGATGAACATGTACATAATATAATTATTTAAATTATGAAATAAAGACGTTACTCGTTTATTATAAGGAACTATCAGTACCGTAGCCGAATTCAGTGCTACAATTTTATCTTTCTAAATTTATTTATTTTTTTCTTTAACTCCAACAAATATTTATTTCAAGAACATTTTTGTTAGAAATATGCATTAATATATTTTAAATGATATATATTTTTTTAAATTAATGTAACGTTGCATGTTTCGATTTTTTATTTATTGCATTCTAAGATACATTTACCTTTTAATGCCAGTGAACTTGTTAGCTGTAAGTAATGCAGAGTTAATTATACATTATCCTGATAATATGACTTTTTCTTTTATGTTCTGCTTGAGAAAATTACATTTATCGACGTCTTACTTCATTTTGGCAAGAAACAACATACTCATGCAATTACATTAAAAAGTTAATCAAAAATGTACTAAAAAGAAGTAATTATCTATTGAGCTTTTTTTTATTTGGCACGAATAGGAACATATGCCATATTTTTCATTACTGGAAGCTTGTAGGTTGGCTAATGTAGTAGAAATTATATTGCCGTCAATGTTAAACATGTCCAGTAATAGGTCGAGAAAACAACCCACATACACTGTGAAAAATACTAGACGATATAAAACAATGACGAATAGGCCTCCAAACAAAGTGAAAATATTTTCTGCAAGGTCGCATGAGGCCCAGTCTAACATTCTGAAGAAAACTGTGTCGCTTCTTACGATGGAAAAAGATTTGAATCTTGACGAATACACTGATGCTCGCATGTTGTTTAATGCTATACGTAAAGGACAGATTCGATTGGTAAAATTCATCCTGGTCGCGGCACCAAAAGAAGTAGTCAATGCTTTGGATCTGAAGGGCAAGACGCCATTGATGATTTCATGTTTTTTGAAGGTAAGACCGATATTACATTACGCTTTATAATTTATGTAGGTTCATTGAAGAAATGAAAAGTTCAGCTTCCTTATTTTTAAATTGTTTAATTTACATGTACATGTACCATTTTATTGTACCCCGATTCAGGCCAATCATCATATGCACTTCATAAAAGAACCGATAATAACACACAGGCACTTGTTTCGGAAATAAATTTTAACCCATAGTATAATAATAACACATCACATTAAATTCTTTCATAACAGATGAAACGGAAAATATATACTTCATGAAGATTTTCTTTTAAAATCTTTACAGGAAGAGATGTCTCGTGACGTGATAGTTGAGCTGCTACTCCAACATGGCGCCGAGGTGAATACTGTTTCAGAATCGGGAAGAACTGCTTTAAGCTATGCTTGTGAGTACCGCTGCAATGACATCGTGGATATCCTCGTGAAACACGCCTCGGTCGACCCAGATATTCCCGATAATGAAGGTAATGCATGTATTAAATATCTAACACAATATATGTACATCATTCTATAGAGTTATACCGTATGAATCCTTTTTATCGACAAACGCACCGGCGCGACGTCACGTCTTTGAAGCACTATTGTGACGTAAATACGTCGCGCCGGTGCGTTTGTCGATAAAAAGGATTCATACGATAAAGCAAAACAAAAATTTATTTACGTAATACATATGTTAAAAAATAGGCACGCCTGTAACTGTCCGAAAAGAAATATTGTACAATGTCGTCAATTTATAGATTTACTGGTTATTTTTCCCAAATAGAGTATTAACTAATTCAATTTTTGATAGTTCATGAATGGCCTTATTCATGAGAAGTAAAAAAATGTTCATGAACAAATCCATGTACGTGTTTACCTCAGTATGCTCTGAAGAAAATCGTGTCATTGGCATTTCCGGCTGAGCTCCAGACTCTACAGATAAGTGGTCTCCTGCATTTATTTCAATGTGTTTTTTTTTTCATTTTTGGGGGGGGGGGTTACATATTACATATATTCCAGATTGTTTCTCCGTTAGTCAGAAAGGCTCGAGTAAGTAATCGAATCAAGTTAATTGATATACTAGCATAGTTGCAATAGCATTTTGTCAATACATAGTAGGAAAAAAACATGAATGCAGCAGCTAGGAAATTGTCTGTAGCAATGTCATAAAGGAGGAAGTGGCGAAAGCCATACGGACGTCTGTATCTTCTAATCAACACCGTCACCTTTGGCGCAGCACTCTGAGGTTTGAAAACTGACGTAATAAAATGTGAAGATAATCAACAGTTGTCATTTTCAAAACTAATTTGAGGTCTTGTATTCATTGCCTAAATTTATTGAAATAAATTAAAACTAAACACGGTGACTCTGGGTTATGCATGCTAACTTCAAGTCGAAAATTAAGAGCGATGATCTAAAGTCGGACTACATGTACAGTAGTCTTATTTTCTGATTTGAAGTTTCCTAATTATGTATAAGGCAAATACAGTAGTTCCAGACATTTTGAGCTTTTAATCTTGCATAATATTGTTTAAATAAATGGTTTGATTACCACCTCCCCCCCCCCCCCACACACACACACACACATTCAACACACCTTTTTTTTTTTGGATGTGCTTATGTTCGTTTTATATTAGCGGGGTACTACGGAAAGCGAAGCTTTTCAAGGATTAATTCCGATTTTTTTTTTTTTTTCGTTATTCTCTCACCTGATTTTTTTGTTTAATTAATTTTTTTTTTGTTTCGATTGTGCTTGTTCACTTTCGTTTTTATGTATTAATGTACTATTAATTCCTTTTTCTTTATTTTGATCATAGACACTTTGAAAATACAATGGTACATGCACCACCACCACCACCCTCCTTTCCTAAAAAAAAAAAAAAAAAAAAAAAAAAAACATCGCTCCTATATTTGACCAATTTATTAAGTGCGGATCATTGCTTTGTAATCCACATCATCAGTCAAGTGGTGATGAATTAATTTGTTTTTCAAACAATATCTCAATGATTCATTTTCTTTCTCATACACTGTAGATGATTTTGCAGAGGATCACGAGAATTTCATCTTTGTAAGCTGTGCAACCCCTTTGTTAATGTCGCCATAGACCTATCTCAATTTACACTGCGATTGTGAAATCAATGATTATTTACACTTGTGCATGTCGTGACCTCTTAATAATATCCTCTGATGAATCCTTTTTTTATCTCTGTAAAATAACGTACCTTTATAAAGCCCTTTCCCACAAATGAAGATGCTTTCTATATGTGTCTGTTTACTGCATATGATTTTTTTCAATCAGGTATGAGAGAAATTTTGAAATTTCTATTTTAAGAATTACCGACCCTGTCACAACCTAACTTTAAGAATAAAAAGTTGATTTAAAAAAAATTCGTTTTGTAAATAATATCCCATAATCATCATTAATTCGTGCACGCGACTTTAATTTTTTTTCTTTCTTTCTCTTTTTTTTTGGGGGGGGGGGGATCACTCGGAGCTCCTCGAATGGCTTATACATGTATCTGTTTGAATGGAGTGAAGCAGAGTCAGCCGAGGATTGTCGATTGTACACATCATGCATAATAAAATAATGCTGTCAGAGAATAATTATTCCGATGGCAAAGTGTATACGTATATTTGATTGTTTGGATTTTCAGGGGATGAGGCCCATGCATTTTACACCATTTATTGTTCTCATTGATATAGCTGAATATGAATTAAACCGATTATTCACATGTACATGTATGTAACTGTGTATCAACTGTTTAGATTGTACAGTTAGAATGTCATCTGGTACCAGTGATTTGGTCAATAAAATATTGCATGAAGCAACGTACTAACACGTAATTGGGTGGCACAAAAGAAAAGCTTATACATACTTTAATTATATATTAACGATTTTTGTATACTCTAAAAGTATGAATTTAACGTCTGACTTTTAATGTTGTCCGACTGATTGTTTTGCATCAAGTCTAGAAATATACATTACTTGGGTATTTTTTATTGGTTTTGTTAGTGCTGAACAAATTCAATTTCTTAATATTTTTAACATGAGAATAAAATACAATAGTTTCTCTTAACAAAATTGCACGACATACGATATTCACCTCTAGCAAAATTTAACCAATCGCAAGCACCGAAGTAACGTGTAAAACTTTGATCCAAGCACAACGTGCCGGGATCATTTTTGAAGGAACCCCCCCCCCCCTCCCCGTTTCCCCATTGTTCAAAAACTTTATACAGATATATAATTAAGTCATAATTATTGATACAATACCGGTATATTTTATTTAATTTTAGTATGAAATGTGTGTACCGGTATATTTTATTTAATTTTAGCATCTTAAATCACTGTCATATAGGCAAGTTGCATCGTTAGAAGGGGGATAAAACAAACACGTTTAATCTTATTTGAATTTGGGGATATTCCACATTTCAATATAATTTTCAATTGAAATAAAATAAAAGGACATCGTTTTGAAAGAAGTATGAAATAATTGATAAGTTAAAAATATAACAATGCCTGAAAGTTGCATACCACCCATCCCCTAAAAAACATTTGTTTAGGGAGGTAAAGCTATGTCATTTTCATAAAAAATACATGTAGGTACTGGCTAAGGGTTTTTTCTTTCTTTTTTTTCTTTTTTTTTCTTTTTTGTGGAGGTGGGTTTGCTGATTATAGCGAAAGGGAAATAACAATACTTTGACTGGAATTTATCCTTAAAGACCTTACCACATGAACATGATTATTCAATTTACTCCCTTGCAAGCAATTGTAATTGCTCAGTCATTTCTGTGAATATACTGTTAAATTTCTCTCTTGGAAAATATTCGTGTTGTTACGAATGCCTTGCGAGATAACTTCAAAGTAGGAACTTGTGTGGTTTTGTATGGTCAGAGGTCTATCCCCTTGTAAAGGATCCTTTCAAATATCAATTTTTCAGAGATTAAAGCATGCTTATGTTCATGTTGTGAGATGGTGTCGTTAAATATATTCTTTGAAATGTACAACTTAGATGTAGCCTACTTTATTATTTCTATATTGGCCTACATATAGATAATATAATGGGTTTTTTTTTATCAGCCTTATCGCTATTTTACAATGAATACGATCAAATAAATGCTAAAATTTGAGGAAATAGATATTGAAGAAACTTAATATATGTAGAAAAAATAATTTCTAACTAATACAAAAGAGTTATTTAGTAATGATAACGTTCCAAATATCAATAACGTTATGTGACGTTATTCAACGTTTTATAGCGTTATCTTGTTAAAATTGCATTGCTTTTATCTTGAGTTTTAATAAGAATTTAGAAGGTATATAATAAAAAATTTGGTAACAAAATATTCAGAAAAACTAGCTCTATCAGAATCATTAAAAAAACTATTTTCGCAAATTTTGTCACGAAGGTCCCTTTTCGCTTGACGCAATCCTATTTTCATCAAATAACAACTATTCCACTTCTTGTTTTGTCTCTCAAATTGTACACATCGCTAAATAACCACATACTAATTTCAAATCAATGAACGCAATATATTCCAAGTTCCAGTTGTTTGAATACTAAGCAATAATTAGTTTTTCTGTGACATTGTTTCCATTACACGATGACATCATTTTTGTTTGGAAACTGTTCCATTCGGATTGCCAATGTCTTAATGTCGCTTTTTTCTGTCCAAAAAAAAAAAAACATGAAAAATACTGTTTCTTGTCATTATCTATGCAATATGCGCTTCTAAGATATCAAAAAATTAATGACGACAAATGCTTTATTTGAGACGGATTTCATTTTTGTTAAGTTTCGGCTTGCTTTGCGAAGAACCCGAAAACTTCATTTCAGACAGACATTTTAATCCTTGGCCATGCGCACTATTTCCGACCTTCAAGAACAAAACCAACGAAACTAATCTGACTTGTAACAAAAATATTTGGCATACAAAAAAATATGTATCTTCCACAATAACGTCATTATTCAAAAATTTTATAAACATCCGTAGCTTTCAGCTTATTAATCTTTAACTATCACTGCTATTACTTGCTGTTTGATTTTAAATATGGAGAACTGTGTTAATTGGTGGTGCTTATAATTTTTGTAGGAAATACCCCGCTGATTTACTGTGCCAAAGTAGGAAATGACGTGGGGATTGATATACTAACACGTCACTTCCGGCGTCTCGGTTTAGAGGTAGACCATTGCAATAAAATGGGTTTCACTGCGATTCTGATGGCGGCAAAAGAATGCAACATAGCTTGTGTGAAAATCCTTGCTAACGAAGGACATGCATCTCTCCTCCATCGCGATAAAACAAAGAATTTCTCTGTTAATGATTGGCTTGCTTATCATGGATACACAAAATCTGAAATAATGCAGATTTTGCCTTCTGTAAGAAAAGCCAGACGAAAGTTTATAGATGCAATCAACATTGCGCGGATGCTGCCCAGTATCAAATGGAACAAAGAGAAGAAAACCTTGTTGGATCGAACACCCTCCATGGTGTCCACCATTACAGTGCCGCTTACAGTCACCGATTTTGATATTCCGCCGAGAAAAAAGAAACCGGTGACACGGCATAGATCACTGGATGGAACCACTCGAGAGCGGACCCTTATCAGAAGACTGCACTCTTTGCAGCTACCTAAAATTTACCGAGGAATGTATGACTCGCCGTATTACGACAGCGAGGAAGATGACGGTAAAAGACGTCATTATCGGCCTCACTTTGAGAAATGCCGCCAGCGGACCTTCGAGGAATATTTATCGTTAAATTCGTCTTCCGAAGAAGATTGATCGATGGAGACTTAGTCTAGTAGTCTGTAAACCCCATCGAAATAGCACAACAGAAACATCATGGTGTTGTCCATTCAAGTATTTTAGGTGCACTTACTATAATGAAATCAAACGAACAAGCGCAACTCCACAAAATATTCATGTATTTGAATATTGGGGTACATGTTTCCACATGCAATGGTACTCAGGAACATCGAACTCGAAGTTGCAGAACAGAGAAAGAGGTTTCCTCCAAGACAGAAAGTTTGTATTCTCACAATCCAATGTATCTTATCATTGTGGTCTCCTTATGAAAATATTGTTTAATTTTTATATAATAAATAATCTTTCAGAAAAATTTATTTTTCATTGAACATAATGCTAATAATATCGCATGTATTTTTGGCACTAGTTATCTCGTCAAAGGGCAGTACTTGTTGGAAGGTCAACTGATGGCCCTGAAACAAAGGGGAAAAAAAAGAAATTCAAACATTTCCAGATACCCAGTAATATGCATTGTTTTTGAATTTAAAAAACCACCCTTTAAATTGCAAAGTATGTCTTTATTCAAAAATATTTGGTTCGTTACTCTGTGAGGAATATAACGGAGCGATAACCAGTTGGCTTAATTGTGAAGACAGCGAACTACATGACTGATAGTTTTGGTACCTGCTGCAGGTGTGTAGATGACCTCATCTCGTATAAACTGACTCGTACTGGTCACTGTGTCGTCATCAGCACTCAGATCTGAAGGAAGAAGAAAAATTTATCAGTGCCAGTATCATCAACATACCAAATACATATTGGTACAATATAAACAACATACCAGCAACATATCAGTAACAATAACAACAACATACCCCAAAACATTGGTAACAATATCAACAACATGTCAGTACATATGATATGTCGATTTCACAAACATAGAAACATTTATCAACATTCCAAAAACATATCAGTAACAGTGTCATCGACATACCAAAAAGATATGTTTTAGATATCAGTACTTATCATCAACATACCACGTTTAGCATGAATTGGTTTCTTATTAGTTTAAGCAAGTTTCTTACTTTGCTTGCAACGACATTAATCCCATGTAAAAAAAATTCCACATGACTAAATATATTAAATAATTACCTTCTTCGTTGATGGCTCGTAATAACACTTTAAACCAGTCAGTTTCGACATTACGGGCATCAATACAGACGATGTCGTCCAGTGCAATGGGCAATCCACAGTCTGATATGATGATTGGGATAGTCTTTAAATGTTTGAATTTCTTTTCGTAATACCGTTTCCACTCATTCAGCAAAAAGTTTTTGGATAGGACGAGAACCACTTTCACAGATTTCTTAATGGCAGTGTCGATAGACTCATTGATGGAGGTTCCGGGTTTGAAGTCCCGAGCGGGGTAACAGCAAATAATATTATTATGTGGGCTTTCTAGTCGCTCTACAATATTAGTCACCCACTTTGTATCCGATGGAGTATGGGCGAAATAGGCATGGAACTTCTTACGCGGGGGAAGCCGAGGGGCATTTCCCCGGACCTGTTCATAAAACATATTCCACCAAGTTTCTTTTGCGGTCGTTGCATTTACGTACCTGTAGTATTTCAGGAATGGCGGAATATCACAAGGTTCAATTAACACAGGAATAAAAACTAATTCATCTAGTTTTCCAAGTGAAATAATCTCCATTTCTAATTGTGACCATTCGTTCTTTATATAAGCAGACGATAAAACAGTAACAATTCTCAAACATTTAGTCAGTATTTGTTTGATATTGTAAGACAGGGACCTTCCAGCGTCTAGGTCCCGCGGGAACACACAGCATTTGAATCCACGACTTTCCAGCTCTCTCGTCACCGCCTTCACCCAATTATAATCCGGATTTTCGCCATGAAAACTAAAAAATGCATGGTATTCCTTCCCCGCCGGCAGAGGCGGGGCTTCGCTTGGGGTGTTACACCTGGGCATCGCCATGGCGCGCTGACGTTCTAAACTTTCCATGGTGACCCTGTAATGAAAATTGAATCTTTTATATGCCTGTGGACATTTGAAATCAAAAGAGGAGACGAGTTTACGTTTTCGTATAGAAGTCATTTTTGCTTAAATGACAAACTCGAACATGTCTTATCGTAAAACATACTTAGATAAGTACAAAAGATTCCCGTGAAGAGTATCTCTGCATCTTTTAAATGGCGGATGGAACGTTACGAGAAGGCTGGAATGCCCGAAACTTTAACTTTAACCCGAAACATACGAGACTTGGTAAAGCATGGGAAGTAATTTATAATAGCTGTAAAGGTTTTAGTTCAGCATTGAATAGATTTTACACACCGGTAATGCAATCCTCGATTATAAATCATATCAATGGTTGCATAGAAATCTAGATCAATATCTTTAAATGCAATATGTCTAAAACATTTTTGGGTCGTGAAGTCCTTTTTTGAGCTCTTTAATTGAAAATACTTGTCAATGTGCATTTAGTTTAGCTTTTGAAAATGAGAATCTTTCGGAATGGACAACAAAGAACAGAATTTTAGCACAGAAAGCCATCTCTTTTTCAGACATAAATGCTGTTTGCTCAAGTTTGAATCTCACCAGTTTAATGCGCACGGTTGTACGGATGGGTCTGTGCATCTCAAGGAGCTAAATATTCAAATTAAAATCTCTGCATTTTTTTTCAGTTAAATGTACCTTTGGAGACATCGTTCTTTGCAATAAGTGTGTATTAAAAAATATATCTTCATCAAATATTACTTTTAACGTGATCAGAAAGAAGAACTTACGGAGTGTGGCTGTAGTTAATATCCATTCCTCTGGACGACCATTCTCGTCTGCAGCTTTGTAAAACATAAACAAAAACCGTTCACCTCGGGGCATCGGATTGAATTTTAATTGGGTGATTAAAGATTTTAATGACATATTTTTTTGCATGAACCAACGAACGCAAAATAAGTTCTTGTCATTTAAATACTGGTAATATGATTAGTGTGGAAGAACAATGCTTGGAGAACTAGATTTGAGGGCAAACATCGGGGTAGCTGCCAATGTCAGAATTATATACAGACGACTGAATTTTGATTTACACTGGTGTTGTGCCAGATAGGTGATATATACCTTTAATTTCTGTTTAATGCTTCAATAATTAAACCTTGCACTAACGATTTCTCCTGGATACTGCATAAAATGAAATTATCTGAAATTAAAGGAAGACTAATTCGTTACGCAATGCGATGGCGAAATGTTTCTTTCTCTTTAAACATCACTATATTAACATTCTGTTGTGTATTCTTTTAGAAATTTGACCTCTCTTTTATAGTTACATTAAATAGATGGATTGATTATCTGGTTCTTTAAATACTACCTACAATGAACGAATAAATGATTATCAAGATGATAAATCACAGAGGTCTAATCAACCATTAAAATCAAATCCCTAAGATAGGTCGAAAGTCTGACAGCATGCAGAAGTTCTTGTTTGTTGCAGAAATGAAGGATCGGACTTTCAGAGCTAATAAATTATTTGTTAATTAATATAACGCTTATACCCCATAATATGCATACACTCTTAATTCAAGAAAACGGTCAATTTAACGGATAATAGCAATAATTATTACCGAAAACAGTTTGGGTGTATTTGCTCAGTGCTAGAAAACATTTGAGTTATCAGCTGGATTCCCTAACTCGGAATATCCTCAGGATCGTAGGTCAGCAGAAGGGGATCAGTCTAGCTTCTACCCCCGACAATCAGGCTTCCATGCAGCTACTGTCCATTCATCGTAACTATAACCCTCTAGTGATCTCTCGGTTGCTAATGCATTGGGCAGACTACTGTTTTCCTTGTCTTTTCATTTATTCCTATCGCCGCAAACACATTCCAACATAAGCTTTGTGCTCTCTCGGTTGCTACTGCAATGGCACAAACTGTTTTTTTTTCCTTGCCCTTTCATCCATTCCTAGTGCTGCAAACACATTCCAACATGACTTGCTGGGAAACTACGTGCCCTACTTTGCTTGAGAAGTTCCAAGTCGGCAATTATGTTTTCCTACAGTTTGTGATATAATCATACTTTGCAACTTTGCGTTCATTGGTCTCTTGTCATTAATTCTCCCATGGCATCTTCAGTTCCATCATCATTTTTTTCATACTTTCAGAAAATAGTAAGATGTCTGGTCTTCTAGTGGTCTTGGTATTGGTGGAGAAATATATAAGTAATCTTCTTTTCGAGGTCGACTCACGCACTTTACTGCCTCCTTTATGTAGGCGAATGCTCTGAGGACCTGGAAATACTTCCAACTATCATCCCCTGGGTAAAGGCAATGTGAAGTCCAAAATATCTGACGTTTTCCAGGCCGTTTTCAAGATTTTGATATTTTACGTGCCAGGAAAATGTTAGATCGGCTGCCATTACGAGAATAGGGAATTTCATCGTCTAAAATCAGGGTTGATTTTCGATACTTGCAAAGCAAATTAAATGCCGAAATTACAATTTATCAACAGCACAATGCTAATAGTGCTCATCAATATCGATGAAAAGAAAAATTCCTCCTGCATTTCGATACAGGACTTACAAGACTTTTAAATGCACGAGATGAAAACAAATCTCGAGAAATAAAAAAATGTTTTCATAAGATTATATATTTTATTAATGAATCTAAAAAACGTTGTTTTTCAGTACTGTTTGTTTGTTTGTTTGATAGATTGATGTTTAACGTCCCTCTAGAGAATTTTTCACTCGCATCGATACGGCACCGATTTCCGGTGGGGGCTACAAATTTAGTCCTATACTCCGCACTTACGGCCATTGCAGTGAGGGATCTTTTTCGTCCAGCACTTAATGACACACGAGACCTCGATTTATACGGTCTCATTCGAAGGACCGGTCTCCACGACCCATAGTGGGATTCGAACCCGCGACGAAAGGACCAACTCCTTACTTCGCGACTCTGGAGCAGATGCTCTAACCACTGCACCACACGGGCTTCTTGGTACATGTAAGTACTAAATATATTGTGCTATTAATAAGTTTTGAGTTTGACATTCAATTCGGTTTGCAAGTATCGAAAATTAACGAGAATGCCGTCTCCGTTTGGAAGGGCGAATTCCTGGTTTTCGTAATGGCACCGGTTCTGGCGTTTTCCTGGCACGTAAATAAC